ATAGCACATCAACAAAGGGACGGGTGCTTAGTGGATTGCCAAAGGGCTCTTACCTAGGTTCGCTATTTTTCTGCTCTACATCATTGATCTCAGTACCGACCTGAAAAAGTCCTGCTACGAAAATTCTGACAATGCAAAAATCTGAAGCATTGAGTTCCCATTATCCATTTCATGAAAACAGAAAGAAGACAAATGTCGCAAGATGCTAACATTTCGTTTAATCTTCTCAGTCGCTGACTAAAAACAAACAGACACATACATAGCACATGGGATTAATCAATAGTGGTGAACAAACGTGTACAAGGATACAATGATTCGCAACTTTAGAAGTAGAAAGTCAGCTCCACGGTAAGTGTATCGCTTGTATCAAAACTTTCTGTGCGCACAGGGTCGGGTAATGTAGTAGAATAAGCAGTGCTTCACTAATCGCCAGAGGTTTGGCATTTGGATTAGGTAATAGTGGTTTTAAAGACGAATTTGGGTCGACTGTGTGTCTGGTTGCCATGAGATGTTTTGCAACAGATGATCCTGCAGTTCGTGCGAAAATGCAAAAATCGTAGAGTTTTCCACGACAAATTATCCATAGAGGAAGCTAAACAAAATATATGCTTGGTCGGTTAATTGGGACTAACTCCTAATACTGTGTAATGTCAACAGCTGATCAGAAATGGAGGTATGCAAGGCGGTAGGACACTGAGACCCCTGGATCAGTCCCAATAGATACCCACGGTATCCACAACCAGAGACCTAGGTGCCGTTGTGCGTGCAGATTTTAAGCCTGAAAGCGAGTGCCAAGTGGTAGCAAAACGGGCATCAAAGCCTTAAACCAGGTGAGACGTTCGGTAAGGTCTATGAAACCCTAAGTCTCTCTCCTTCTTTACAAGGCTTATGTGCGCCTGCACCTCGAATACTGAGTCCAGATTTGGAGCCCTCTTTTTTCTTCAAGATATAAAAACGCTAAAATCAGTGCAGCGTCGCTTCACGAAGTAGTTTACGGGCTTAAGACATCTCCCTTACGACAGGCATCTCAAAGCTTTAAACCTTTTCCGGTTGAGTAAGCACAGACGCACTGGAGACTTGATTGAGGCATACAACATCCTAACAGCTTTTATAGACGTACCAGAGGGAGCGCTATTGAAGCTCAGTGAAGTGATAAATCTGAGAAGGCACGCTCTAAATATGGTTAAATATAAAGTAAGAACCCGCCTGAGAGCGTACTCCTTCGCAACGAGATTTGTGAATTACCGGAATAGACGGCCGGATGAATTCATCGCTTCCAACTCGGCAGCAGCTTTCGAGCGCAGACTAAACATTGTATAGATCATTGAGCGGGAAAGAACAGTTTGGATACGGCTGACTTGAGGACCGCTACCCATTTATTGCGGAATCTCCTCAAACCATATCTTACTCTCCTCTTTTATTTCGTTATCCGTCAACCTCTCTAGGGACTGCAGGCGTATCCTTCACTGTTCCTCTATTAGATATACCTACTCTTTCGCACCAACTTCTTGGTCCCAACGGATAGTCTGGCCGTTCCATGAGTCTGTAAGCTCCGACACCATTCCTAACAAAACCTCTTCGAACCGGAGCCCTACGAAGGACGGTCTCTCCAAGTCCTTGTATAATATTCGTTTAATTGGAGAAGAGTTTTTCTCTTCCTTCATCGTAGTACCAGCGGATTCGCGGAGCCCACCATTGAAAAAAGCTGCTACATCCTGTGAATGAATTTGACCTTAACCAGGTCAGAAGAAAACAACTACCGAACGGTGAGCCTGACTGCCATTCTTCGTATGGTGCCGAAAATGATTCTGAAGGCCCATATCTGTGAGCTCCTAATGGATCGTTCTATGCTGTGCCTTGCTCAGCATGGTTTCCTGAGAAACAAATCGTGTCTCACCAATCTCTTGTCATTCTTAGATGGAGTAACTCGCAGGTTGAATGAGGGCCTAAGCATGGAGGTATGCTATCTTGACCCAAGTAAGGTGTTCGACTCCGTGGATCATTGTTCAAGTTGAAAGCCGTCTGCATAGAGGGACAGATATAGTGCTGGATACCTAACTTTTTGCATACATGACCTTTCAACGTAGGAGTAATTAAATCCAATTATAGTTTGAGGAGCATCACTAGTAGAGTATCTCAGGGATCTGTATTAGAACCCATCTTATTCATACTGTTTACAAATGACCTAGCCAAAACGCTCCAGTCACATTGCTTTTTCTTTTCGAACGTCGTAGGGTCAAAGGGGCGAGAGGATTTTGCCAGGTATGTTGCTGCAGTCCTAAGCTTGGCCCTCAAGTGGGACTTGACACTGAATGCTAGCAACAGCCACCTACTGTCACGGGCCGTAGAGGGTATCACAGTTGGACACGAAGTAGGTTCCTTCAGTATGTATTCGGCGAAAAATGTAAAGATCTACGAATATTGGTAACAGTTGACCTTGGTCGGATCCATGTGCTAGAGCGGCACAGAAAGCTAGGGGTGAATGATTTAGACTAAGGTTAGTGTTGTCGTGCCGAAAACCTGAGTTATTTATACCCCTGTACAAGGCCATAGTAAGACCCCACCTACAGTATTGTTCCCAGGCATGGTCACCCTTCTTCAAAAGGATGCCGACTGTTTACAGCGCTTTCAACGGCTAGTAACAAGAATGGTTCAGGGTCCGCAGGGCAAGACCATAAGGAAAGGCTTCAGGACCTGGGACTTTTATTGTTAAAAAAGAAAAGGCTGAGGTAAAATATGATAGAAACCTTAAAGATTCTGAAAGGTCTGTCCGAGGTGAGACCAGAAACCCTGTTTCAGAAAGCGCTAGATTCCCCTGAAGAAGTGCAATAATTGAAGCTAGTCAAGGCGTAGTCTCGACTGATCTTCCGGACACACTTCTTCAACAACAGGGTAGTAAACATATGGAACAGAATACCTGTGGAGCTAGTAGAACTGCAGACCGTGCTAGCATTCAAATGACCCTGGAAGAAAGGCAGTATGAACTTGTTCCTGAAATGGAGGTCCGACTATCGATTCACCGACTTAAGAAAACTAGAGGCTTC